AGATTTAACTCTTAGACTTCAGGTAGTTTCATTAATTTATTTTAAGTTCATTTTAAATTTTTGTGGTTTGTTTTTTTTTAAGTTCATATCCACTATCTAGTTATATAACAAAAGTAGTATGTGGCTTTGTGCATTTTACAGGCCATGACAATACTTTCATCAAGAAAATCAAGTTGATATTCTACACACTGTTAAATAAAACATGAATAAGCTATTTGGTGGTTTTCCTTTTTAATTAACTTGTAAATATAAAGTCAGCATTTACACTGAAAAAAGTTAGTTAGCTATGACATGTGAGCAGAGTAGCTTATCCAAGGTAGATTTCATGCAATACAGTACTATGGATAGCGATTCTTAAAAAGCTAAAGAATTGGTCTTACTTGACATATTTTAAATTGGCTTTTATTATTGCTAGTTTTAGTATTTTTTAACATTTTAAACTGAGCTCAATTTTGCCTATTGATATAGGTTTCTTAAACAGTATTGCCTGCAAATTATCACCAGCAGAGCATGTATTATTGAGATTTAAGAATTCTGCACAATGTACTAGGTAACTGCTTTGATTACAAAGCAACTTTTATATTAATGGCATAGATCATATTCATGTAGCAGATGATTAATAGTTAGTTCATGCATTGAAAGTATAAATGTATTTTAAAGTACTAATCCTCAGAATCTTTCTATGTGGTAGGCCAGTGTAGTGTACCAGTTGTAATTATGGGGAAATATCATTTTGAGGAAATGAAAGCACTGAGCTAAATTCTACCCTCAGTTAGATGAAGGGTTACTGAGGTGCAACTGAGGCCAATATGTGCACTGTAGAAGCTGGCTAAACAAAAAGCTTCCAGAGGTGCTCACTGGTTTAGGATGCCCAACGTGTGACATCCATAGGTTTTATATTCAGTTACTGAATCTCTGGTCCTCCTGTTGATTTCAGTTATGGATGTTCACTGTGTCTGAAAATCAGGTCAATTGAATATACAGTAACCAATCGATGAATCTATGAACCACCAGCACTGAAAGTTGGTGGAGTCTGAGTGAATTACCCAAGCCTACCTATCAAGTTGGTAGTAGATCCAGAACTAAAACTCTAAACTTTATGGCCTCAAATCATACTTGATTTAGCAGACCATGTTGCCTCATGAGAGGAGAATTTTTGTCTGTATTAGACACTCCACAAGATGCTCTACATTATAAGATCTTTTAAATAAAGGATAAGAGTCCTAAGTTTGATATTTAGTTGTTAGCAACTTCTCAGCATGACAATTATCTTTTGGCTAGACAGTTTGTATATCCTTTCTGAAGTTCAGGAAATTTTCTGAACACCTTAGTAGGAATCTGAGCCATATGCAGGCAGACTCTCATTTAATACAAATGACAGTTGTTCCTGATTTAGTGTGCTGTTTTTGTAAGTAAATGTTTACATCTTCTTCTGAGCCTCTGCTTCCTTTTAATTAAATGCTACCGTGGTACAGAAGCTTGCAGATGTAGGAGGACAATGACCACTTTGATTTAGCCATTTTGATGAAAATTGCACTGCAAATTTCCTTGAGTGCAACAGGGTCTTTGAATGTTTATGTTGAATGAGCTTTTCCTTGTTTGATCTTTAAATTCTTTTGCATGACATACAAGAAAAAGATATAGTGCAAAGCTTCTGTTAAATATATTTAAAATAACTCAGGCATGCAATAAACTTTAATCCATTCTACAAAAATAATAAAACATCTGACCAAATAGTGTCGGTATATGTTTTGCAGGTAATTACTAACTTGACTCAGGCAACAGAGAAGCAAAAGGAAAGGATAGAGTTAATGAGAAAATTTACACTGTGGCGGATTCAGCATGTTGAGACCAGACAGCAGGTATTTGCATAAAATATTAGATAAACCTCTGAACTCAAAAGGGTCAGAGTTACTGCAACTCTTTGTTACCATCACAAGAAGTGACAACTCTTATATTTTGATGCATATAACAGAAATTGAATTGGTGCTCTCAAGCATTTTGAAAGCAGTGCATTTGCTCTTGGAAATGCTTAGTTGAAACAAAAATAAAAATGATTCCCCATTTTCATTCTCCCTCTCGCTCTCTCTCTTGTGTTTGAACATCTCTGTTATTCTGCCTTTTCTTCAGCTTGTTTTAGTCTCACTGAATCTGTTGTTACCATTTAAAAATATACATGTTGAGCGTTAGTTGTGTTTAAACAGAATTAGATTTTCTTCAAAACTGCATTTTTGTAAGCATCCAAATGTAGAAAACTAGGTATTAAAAAACAAAACCAGACAGATATCCACATGGTTTGGGGTTTGGGCATGTACATTTGGAACCCTTTCGAAACTGTTCATCCAGGGTTCTGGATGAAGCATTGTTTAAATTGGAGCAGTTTTGCTACGTTTGAATCATTCTTAGCTCATTCACACCTAACGTTTAGAATGTATTGGCTGCTGCCTTTTGGAAATTCCCCTTTTCAGAGGGTCCCAAATGTCCTTACATCCACACTGTCAGGCATGCATAAACAAAGTTCCTACAAAGGCCATGTAAAAAAGCGTTCATTTTTAGTGGAGAAAAAATTTTTGCTGCTAGAAATGATTCTGGGGGAGAGCGCAGTACAAGCTCTCAGCTTGCAACTGCCCACTCTTCCCCTGTTCCTTGACCCTTCCCAAAACCAGGGTGATCCTAGTCTGGGAAAAACGTGGGCTGCTCCAATCCTCTGCCTGTTCCTGGAGCACTGGAACAGTTGGGCAAAGCCCCTTGCCCACTTCTTGCACCTGGGACTCAAGTGAGAGAAGCAGGCAGGGGTCTTGCACTGCTTTTCCCATTGCTCAGGAGCTGAGTGGGCAGAGCAGTGGGACAAAACCTATTTCTCACTTCAGGGCTCCCAGTGCCTGAGGAGCTGACAGTGGGAAGATGGCAGCTGCCCCTTCCCTCCCCTCCCATTCTGAGAGGGGCAGGAGGAGCTGCTCCCCTCACCTTCTCCAGACCAGGGTGACTCCAATCTCTAGAAGGCATAGGAGCCTTTCCCTGTGGCTCAGGGACTCCTGGAGACTAGGGAGAGTGAAGCCATGGGAAAGTGTACAAAATTCATTTTCCCAGGAGAAACTCTTCCAGAAGCAACTTCTAACTGGTTGGAGTTGGATTATTTTTCTCTTAGACCTGCCATTTTTGGTCCAGCAGAAACAGCATGAACATTTGTAGATGTCTGGTTTTTACAAACAGAATGGAAATTCTCCTGGTAGAAATGGGATATCTGTATGTGGCTAAATGTAAATACATATCCTTGTTTACCTCCTGGTAACTTGCTCATGTGCCCAAGCATATGCTGCTGCAGTTGTAGGACCGTGTATGATGTCGTTAGTTTGAATATCGCCGAACTGAGAGCACAAACTGTAGTCTGTTTAAGATGTTGTGAAACACTCGCACATACTCTCCTTAAAGAGTATTAAATAGTCAAGAAATATTTATATAACTTGGTAATATTCACTATTCAAGGAATATGCAAATAGACTGGCAGAGAGACAATTCCAAACAGCTTTGATGAAGAGGGTGTGGGCAGCCTGGCGGTCCCTTACTGAAGCAAAATGGAAAGAGAAAGTGGCGAAAGCCTGTCAGTCAAGGGCTGAAGATGTCTGTATTCAGCTTTCTCAGGATTATGAAGCTAAAATTACAGAGGTAAGGGGCTTATTTTAAGTTCCTCTTTCTAAACCAGCTTATGCATTGGTTTTCCACCAGAGTAGTGGGAAGTAGCTGCCAAGTGTGGAGCTGGGAATTTAAGGTACAAGTTCTGCAGCTAAAGCTTTGCCACAGGCTTATATTTTCTGGGCTCCATCTTTTTGCTATATGAGTTGTACAGTAATATAAATGAAGTCTCTACATTTTGGCTGGAGAGGAAAATGTCCAATGTACTGTATGAAATACAGATCACTTCACTTATCTGGTAGCTGTTTTCACCTGTCTGCAAATGGTAATCCCATGCCTACTGAATAGTGTAGTTTTAGTAGACCTTAATTCATTAATATTTGTAAAGTGCTTTCAAATAACCTTTTGAAGACACTATAGAATGCAAGATAGTTATTTTGCAGTTTGTCACTGTACAGTAGATTTTGGTATAACTGCTATTCTGTTAAAAGTTGAATTAATTTTTTTCCTGTATAAGTCCTAATCTAAAATAGTCACACATATTAACACATATTAATTCAGATGAAATAAAGGTTGAGTATTATTTGTCAAGAGAGTTTTATAGTTTGACAGGAAATTAAAAACCCAGGAATTTTATCATATGTCTTCACAGTACAGTGCAGTACTGTGCAGAAAATACCTGAGCTAGGTATTGGAGGAATATAGCCAATAGCTGTGTGTGTGTGAAACTCTGCCTACATGAATATACCTTGCTTCTGCAGGGCTGATTAGCTCGTGTGGAGCTGCACTGCTTACACTATCTGAATTAACTTGTTCAGAGCTCTGGCATCTCTGCACAATACTGCAGTGTGCTGGGTAGACATACTCTTGAGAGTTACAGATTTATTTAACCAGCCCCAGTCACAATGAAATAACTACTAACTCCTATCCCAGTAGTTACAGCTATGTAGTCATTTCATATGTAAGAACTTAAAGCCTGCAGCTTATATGGAGGGATTGATTCAAAAGTATCAAGAGCCTAAGTCCTTTCTGTGTGACAGTCAATGAGACTTACACTCCTAAATAACTCTCATGTTTTTGAAAATTCCATCTGAAAAATACAGTACTTTTCACTTTGGAAATGTAACAAAAGGAAAAACATCTTAATCTACTGCTTTCTGGATGGATAACTGAGTTTGTCATTTACCAACACAGACAGCCCCTTCCCCTTATAGACGGCTGTAAAAATGATAACTGTCTGATACAGTGTGGATGCAGTTAAGGGCCCGGGGGGGGCGTGTTTTGGGTTTTGTTTGTTTTTTTAAAGAAATGGGCTGTTCATGCCAATAAGAATGCAAACTATATTTATGTTACAATAGCAAAGCTGCCATCAGAAGATAAAATTAAACTGATTTCTTCCTGACCCTAGCTAACAATATTTGCTGCCTCTTTCCTGCTCCACCGAAGTATTCTATAGTACAGCTAGACTGTATTATAGGCATTCTGGTATGGTTGGAGATAGATTCCCAGACTACAGAGATGATTAGTCTGTTTAGGTATGGCAGTTGCTAGGTTTCTCTCCTTATCAGGTGTGTTCACTAGTTATGGGGACTACATGTTTTATCTTCTTTCTAGCACAACAGACTTTTGCAAGGAAATATTACATTGAGAAAATGAGCTACAGTAAAAGCTTTGTTATCTGGCACCCATAGGGAATGGGGGGTGCTGGATAACAAAATATGCTGGTTAATTGAGAGGCCCAAACAGGAGTCTTTGCCTGTACGGGCCACTGCTTCTCCCACCGCGTCCGCAGCATCGCCGACGCTCCCGCAGGCCCTGAGGGACAGGGAGGGTTACAATAGCAAAGCTGCCATCAGAAGATAAAATTAAACTGATTTCTTCCTGACCCTAGCTAACAATATTTGCTGCCTCTTTCCTGCTCCACCGAAGTATTCTATAGTACAGCTAGACTGTATTATAGGCATTCTGGTATGGTTGGAGATAGATTCCCAGACTACAGAGATGATTAGTCTGTTTAGGTATGGCAGTTGCTAGGTTTCTCTCCTTATCAGGTGTGTTCACTAGTTATGGGGACTACATGTTTTATCTTCTTTCTAGCACAACAGACTTTTGCAAGGAAATATTACATTGAGAAAATGAGCTACAGTAAAAGCTTTGTTATCTGGCACCCATAGGGAATGGGGGGTGCTGGATAACAAAATATGCTGGTTAATTGAGAGGCCCAAACAGGAGTCTTTGCCTGTACGGGCCACTGCTTCTCCCACCGCGTCCGCAGCATCGCCGACGCTCCCGCAGGCCCTGAGGGACAGGGAGGTGGGCCCCGCACAGCCTGCTATGCCCTGGGCCATGGGGGGTTGGCAGCGCAGGCTGCTTTGCCCTGGGCCATGGGGGCTTGGAAAAACCAAAAGTGCCACAGCGGGCACTTCCAGTTTCACTTTACCTTACAAGCCAGCGTGCTGGTTAATAGAACATGCCGGCTTGTAAGGTGCTGGTTAACGGAGCTTTTACTGTATTTGGTATTTTGAAAGCTAGTTAAGGATTGGGGGGTTTCCTTGTGTTCACAGATAAAGTTTTCTTTATCATAGCTAAATACTTCTTTGGAAGAGGCAAAAGCTGAAATCCTGAGACTGCATAGTGAAAGAGAACAATATGAAGACACCATGAAGAAAGCCTTTATGCGTGGGGTGTGCGCTCTGAATTTGGAAGCAATGACCATGTTTCAAGGCAAAGAAAGTAGGCCAGATCACGGTTAGTACTTCAGGTAGCTGTGGGTGGACTTGTTTGGTCTCTTTTAAAGTAATATTTTCATTTTTAATATGTGGATTTAAATAGCAAGGATGAAAACACCATACTTATTATGGGATCAATTTATCACTTACTTTCAAAATACAATGAATACATGAATAAGAGTCCCTTGGAGGTGTAAGTAAAGAGAATACCTTAATGGTTGATTCTTCAGCAACATATTGCAGTTTTTAAGAGAATATATAGATGGTTTGGTGGCCATTCTTTTCCCAGCCAGCTGTTTTCCTTCCCTCTTCTAATTCCATTTGTTCTAGAGCTTCAAGGGCAATAAAGTTCCTTAGGGTATGTCTGCATTAATGCTGTATACCAATACTGGCAGTTTCCTGTTCTTATGGATACAGCTTTACTGGCAGAGCTATAGCAAAACCACTTCCTGAAGTGAAACTACTAGCATTAGTAAAAGTGCAGCTTTGCCAGTATAGCTATCTACATCAGGGGCTTCTGCTGGCATAGCTGGATTATTTGCATCTCTAAAAACCCCAAACCAGTTTAGCTGTGCTGGCTGAAATTGGTAGGGTAGATCTAGCCTTAGCTATATAATTTCAGTTATTAAACCTAAATTGTTAGCAGGTGTATTTAAGTGTCCAAGAGTATCCCTCAACAGCTTCAAGTTTTAAATGTAGATGTAATGCAGTAAATTAAGGGGAGAAAAATAGTGAAGGGGAGGAGGTAGAACACAAGTGTCTGCCTGAGTGACTGCATCACCCTGTGGGGCTGTGTAATGAATGTGAGTACCCACTATAGCAAGTGTTCAGTCTCTTGAGTAGCCAGAGCACAGCATGCACTAGGTGGCCAATTTGCATGCTAGGGTATGTGTGGTACCAAATTAAATTTATATCTACTGCTGTTCAGAGTGAGGATATAGATAAGCAGCATATATTTAAATCTTTGGAATCTTCTTAGTCGGGTAGATTTTTAATGGAGTTATTTTTCAATGGTGAAACTTAAATAAAATGGCAAGGACACTGTCAGGTACTTCAGTACTTAGCTCAGTGAAAAGTAACAGTTCTGAACAGTCTTCTGGAAAAATAACACTTCTCTGGCTTCCATTTTGTGGCCTTTCATCTTCTAGAACACAAGCTAATAGTGTATTTCATCCACTGTCTTCTGAAGCTTCAATGTTAACAGAATTCTGGGAATGGGATTTAACCTCAGCTCCTCCTACTCACCAGGTGGCTGCTTCTGCAGCAACAGAACGAACAGAATTAAGACAATGTTGGGAGCATTCAGGCTCAAATTTGTTTACTAGCGAGCAGGATTCAGTTAGGTAAAACAAACTCAAACTTGAGGCATTAAACTAAAGAACACGCTCTACTAAAATCAAATTAAAATTGGGGACATAAACACTGCACTTCCTGAGCCTTTCCAGTGCACTTTCCAAAAAAAGAACCCAAAATAAAGTATTTTTTCTATTTGTAAAATATACACTGTACAGTGTTTTTAGTGTTTCATGATTATAAGCATCATAAACAAAGAAACTTGGCTCTTGTAGTGCATGGAAATTTACAGATTCTGTAGCTTACCATACATCTCCCCAGTTACTTATTGATAATTAATTGTTTGTGGAAGGAGGACAGATGTAAAGACTTAAAATTTCTAGCAAAATACTAAGGAGAAAGTGCTTGGAAAAGGCCATTAGAACCTGTAAATAAAACTGTGGATGGGGCTCGATGGCATTAAGGATGTTAAATATCTTCAGGTAGACAGGTTTAGATTGGATTAGAAAAGATCTGCTCAGAGACTTTGAGCCAAGCCAGCTGTTAGGTGTACATACAATGACAATAGGGACTGCAGGTACATACTTCTGAGCAGAATTTGGCCTCCTCATTTGATTTTTGGAAAATTATCCATGCATAATGCCCCTAATAGATACATTTAGATATGCTGGGACTAATATAAAATCCTACTGTATGATATTGCAAACAGCACTGTAAATATATAGAGAAAAGGGTCTTTAAAGAAAAAAACATCAGAGAAGGAGCACATATATGTCATTACTAAAAACTAGGGTTGGCAAACCAGTCAATTGACTGGTCAATTATTGTCAGTTGATCAGTCAATTGACTGCATATTTTTAGACCAATCAAAGATTAGAGCAATTTTACAAAAAGCTACACTTTTTGTAGTTTTCTTGACAGAAATATAATTTTTATATTTTTGACACTTTTTAATGAAAAAAATGTGCTTTTTTCTGTGTATTATATGGACCTATTGGCAATTTTTTACAATTTTGACCAGTCAATTGACTGAACTTTATTTGCCTGGTCAAATATCCAAACCTACTGAAAACATTTATAAGTTACATTTATAAGTAGTATGCACTGGGCCTACAGTATGTATTGGCCCTTCCTATGTTCAAGCAAAAGAACATTTTTTGTGTGTGTTTTCATTTCTTTCCTGAGACTGGGGACATGTTCTGCTCACTGCATTACTCCCATTGGTTGGTTAAAAAGCATTTAAGAAGTGTGGACTAAACTAGTAAGTATAGCTTGTCCTAAAACTTTGAGTGACAAAATTACAACTACCACATGGTGTCACTGTAGTCTATGGAATGATGAAAACATCACTGCCTACTATGAAAGTCCACCCTAGGAATCAGAGGTGAGGGCAAGCAAGTAAATCAGAATGTGCCCCTGGCTGCTCCACAGAGATTGCACAGGTGGAAGGAAAAGGGCAAACCTCTTTGGAAAAGAGAACAGGTGTATTCTCTGGGTTTGAGCTCCATAGTGGAGGAGTTTGGTGCCACTGAGAGTCAGCTGTGCCTCCCTACACTTGCAGCAGCTCAAGTCTCTTGTTAGTTAAGCAGCCTTTTATGCTACTAACATAGATTCCCTAAAGGTCCTTATACTGGTGTGACAGAGCTCCAACACGTCACCTTTCCCCACCATCCCCCCTAAATTATGATAAGAGCAAAGGGACAGTGGGTGTAACAGAAGATTTGGTGTCATGATATTTGCACCCTTCTGAGAATAGAGTAGAAATACAAGACTATCTGCATAAGAGTAGACTGATCCTTTTAATGAGATTATACACAAATCCCAAAGGAACAGTAAGGTTTTACTATGACTCGTCTCTCTCTCCTTAGGGTTTTGTAGGTCCTGTGCTCATTGCTTGAATTTGTGTTTCTAATAATAGATGCAGTAAGCAGAAGAGAGGATACTGGTTCCAGTGTGCCTGGGAGGCTCCCTCCTTCCCAATTTGATCCTCCATCACCACCACCTCCAACAGCAGCCACCATTCAGACAGAGGGAATTGTAAGTATTGTAGCAGGAACAGACTTTATATGTTGTTTAGTGAGGATACAGAATAACTCAGATATTACAAGAATGTTCAGAGTGTGTCTACACAGCACAATACAGCATCTGCATCAAGTCATGTACATGTCGCCAAGTGACATAAGGACAGATATTAGATGGTGTTGCACTTGATTTCCTTTTTCTTTTCCAGTAAGCTTTTTCTTTTCCTGAAATTTTCAAACCAGTTAAGCAAGTCACAGCCTGAGCAGAATTTGTTTCCTAAAGTATCTTTTGAGAAAACAGTTGCTGAGAGTTTTTTGCAAAAATACCTGATTGTAACTTAGTGCGAGAAAATAGAAAGTAACATTAAAGGCTTAAAGGCTAATTATTAGAAACATAGGCTAGGTACAGATGTTACAAGTATCACACTTTAATCGTGCAGAAACCACTCTAAAGCCATAACTGAACAGACGTTCACAGCTCTTAGAGCACAATTCACCATTTTTAAAGCATTCTAAGTTAACCCTTGATGGATGAGGTGTTAGACTGAAGCACTTTCTGTTAGAGCACTTTGTTGAACATTTATGCCAGATCCCATCAAGGGTTAACTTGTAGAGCAAGATTGCACAGGGCTGCTGCTCTAGCCTTGGGTAGAGCTCCTTTGCTCTGCCCAAGGACCAGGCCAGCTCCACCTCCTCGGCTGACCCAAGTCAGTGACTGCCTCTGATCCCAGCCCCACCTTCTTCCTCTGGCCAGCTGTGAGCTAGGGATGTAAATATCATTTTAAAAATATTTGTTTAAACTCTTCTAATTATATCAGTTAAATAACTGATAACAGTGGACACAGCTGCTGCTGGGAGCCGCTACAGCAGGGGCAGGCAATTTCGGGTGGAGGGCCACTTACTGAGTTTTGGCAAGTCATCGAGGGCCTCATGACAGGCAGCCAGGGGCAAATAAATATTAATTTTCTAAATTTTTAGGGGCCCTGTGGGCTGGATAGAATGGCCTGGAGGGCTGCATCCATCCCGTGAGCCGCATTTTGCCCACCTCTGCACTACAGGCTCCCAGAACCCTTTGACTGGGAGGAAAAGAGGAGGAGGGAAGCTCAGCCAGACAACACAGCCCACATAAAGCCCTGCCCTAGGAGGGAGGGAGTATCTGTGAATGAGCAGCTAATGGGTCAGTTGTTGAGTCATTAGGCTGCTCACTGTTTTCCTCATAGGCTATAGGTACTAGTCCCACTAGCCCCTTCCCCCTCCCCTCCTCCTGCCTGTCCTGCCTTCT